TTTCCGGAGCAATGGTTTTGTGAACAAATCAGCCATTCACAAAAATCAAATTGTTCACAAACACTGGTTCATAAATTGTGGCTTTGGATAGCTTTTGGATCGTGCTTGTTCAAGATTGAAAGTCGTACGGTTGGGCCCTATGAACCAATTGCAACTCCGGTCAGACCATCGCCCTTGCCTCCGACGGCCAGGATGGGGAAGAAGCGAACCTCGGGCACTGGTGGCGCCGGCGGTGGGGCCGGCGGTGGAGGAGGCACCAAGCGGGCAAAATCAACCAGTGATTTTTCGATTCCACCGGATGCCATGACTTTCCTTCACATGAAGATCTTTTCCGAGTGGGCGTTCCTTGGACCTATAGGGTTGGTAAACGGGGTTCGTTTAAAGATGCTTGAAGTGATAGTTCCCAAACACAAGAATCCTTATTTCACTGGAAAACTACAAGGAAAGAGCACCTGACCGATGCAAACAAGACCATCGATGCCTTGCTCACGGAGAACCTATCGTCCGAGGCAGTTTCGAGTTTGTTCTACTAGTAGTAGATGAAATGACGGCCTGCGGTGCCAAGACAAGGCAGTTGCTTTCTTCACATGGCTCGATGAAAAATTTCCACCACAGCTCGGCGTGCCATGTACTCAGGATTTGTTCAGGGTTCTCGAATTGAATGGTCAAACAATATGATGTCACATTCCTTTCATTTCTCAGGGACTATGCCAGCACCAATGACCTCGTGTTGCCGGGGTCGGCGTGGCAGTTGCGACCGTGGCAGCTCCCGTTCAGGGAGGATTTTGGGTTGAGGGGAACGAGCGACCCAGACCGGGTCTCAGTTTCGTTCAGAATGTGTTTCCTATCATAAGTGAGCCATTATTTAGTAGTATGATGGACATACCGCATGGATGCCTCGCAAGGAAGTGCAATTCAGCCTGGCACAGCTAATACTATTGAATGGGATGACGACCGATGCCAACATCCCGGGGACAGAGAAAGTCACCTGCACAACTCTTCAGGGAGGTTGGCTTCACCTGCCAGCTTTGACTGTCTCACAGTCACAAATCCACGTGGACGAGAAGTTAGCACCACCTCAATCAATATTCCTTGTCAAGGGATGGAACAGATGCTGTTGCTGTCTCGGTGTACTTTGGGCACTGTACCAACGGCCAGATTTGTTCGAGGCGATGTTGTTTCCGCGGGTATTATCCTTTTGTGGCGTTCAACCATTCGTTGAACATACCAGCTGGGGTACCATGTTGGTTCCCCTGCGGCGCAGGCAACACCGGAGCCTGTGAAAAAGTTCCTCGGCTTGTAAACTCCGCTGTGCGGGGGTGGTCTCAAATTGGCTTCTTCTGCTTTGTTGACTTTGTTGGGCTTAAGGTCCTTTTGCACAATCTTTGCAAACTCGTGCGCGGCAGATTTGACACATATAATATCGACAAATCGAGGATTCGTCTTTAGTGTGCCAAGCAAGAAAGGAAACCATGTTAATCATGTGCGAGGGTAATTGGCTTTTCATTGCGGCGCAGGAGTGACTCTCTCATCCAGCGTTCGCCGCAAGCCAAACTGTTTCAACTTGCTGCATCAGTTGGAGATGAGTATCCGTGCTGGCGTGTCCAACGAGCAAGCGGTGCAGCTGCTTCAGGCGCTTCACACATGGCGGTTGTGAGATTATGTGAGGTGACAATCAAACCATTGTGACTTTACGGGATCGTTTCCGGCGTCGTGGGCAGGGTCATGACAACATTTCCACCTTTGCTGCGGCCTACGCATTGGGCAAACAGGAAAGTACAGCGGCGGTCTTTCTAGTGCAGAGGGTACCAACCTTTGTGAAGGAGTCTTTGGTGGCTTTGGTGAGGCCTTGCTTAGTGGACTGCACATGGTGTGAAATTCGTTACAGTTTAGACTATTTAGACGACAAAACATATTGATTTAGATTTGATGATTGATGATGTTGACGACGATTGGTCTGTGTCTCCTTGCGAGGCGATTTACCCAACCAAAGTTTATAACGCACGAGGCAATTGCCTCTTGGAAGTCAGCTTTGACCAACAATGAGCACCTGCTGAACTCGCTGATGACCCGTTTGCAGCAAGATTGGGTTTCTTTGACACCCAAGATGCGAAAACCATGGTCGCAGAAAGACCTCGACTCATAACCGCAACCAACGAATCAACGAGGTTGTATGTCACCACCTGTGTGCATGAAACATGGGTCCATGTGATAATGTCCACGATCCAACTCACCGAGGAACAGTTGCAACGCGTTTGCGGGATCTTCCAACACTGTCTCCAGCAGTTTCTTTCCAGTGTCCCCAAGGGCTTTGCAGACTCAGTGCTTCCAGAGATCCACAAAGCGTCTTTGGGTTTAAGCAATTGCTTGGTTTGACCATCCCAGAGTTTTGTCACGCTGTTTTGAGATGGCTTTGGTCCCACTTTACCCCGGACAGCTTTGACCTTCGCGCTGAGGTTCGAGCTGCGCCACGCAGATTCAGACCTGCAGAACTTGATGGAACACTCTGTCCCACCGGCTGACTTGGCAAAAGTCACAGTCTTTGCCAGTCACATGCAACGGTACCATCAGGAGGCACCGTTTTTTTCAGAACAATTGGAATCATTCAATGGGAATCATCTAGAACAGTACCAACTTGGACTCACCTCCTGGCGGCAGGCAGAGAAGGAGACCAAGGACAAAGCACAAGAGTCACTCAGCAAGATCAACGGTCCCTAAAAGCAAGTTACAGTCAATGTAAAACCTTTACCGTATGTAAAAACACACCCACCCAGTTGGTTTGTATCCACCCCAACCTTTGAGGTTGGCAGCTCGTCTCCTTCAGACGACATGGGAACAAACCCAGCTACAAATCCTGGAGGATATTGCTAAATTGCGAGACTGGAGCAGTCGGTTCTTGGTGTTCTCGAAGCAGCAGGCAGTAGACTATAGTAGACTGTTTACAGACTTCACCGGATACGCAACAAACCCCTTTCGAATGTGACCACCTTTGGTCAGAGTGAGCTGACTGACTGACTATTTCTACATAATGTTTGCTTTTGGGACTGGCAGGCATCGTTGGACTTCAAGCACCTGAACGACCGATATGTTCGAGGAAAAGCTGCCGTTGACGCCTACATGGAAAGCCACCACCAACTGGTACATGTGAACAGCTTGGTCATGGCACATGGAAACATTGTAACGATGCAGCAATCATTGCCACAGAATGCGCTACTTGACATGATCATGCTTGGTCGAACCCCTTGAATCCATTCCCAACGATACCCTTCAACAAGCCACTTCAAACAGATCTTGAGGCTCACCATTCTTCTGGTCGACGCGACGGTGTGGCCATCTCGCCCCTTGTGCAAAAAAGAAACTAAAAAAGAACAGGAATCGTGAAACATGGCTCCCCAAGCCTATACTGTTCTCGAATGATGGTCGGGTTGGTGATCAGATTTATGTTCATGTCACACGTCATGACCGCCTTCAGTTTGAGGAGCATTGGCGATTGATGAGTGCATCCAACTATGCCAGGGCATCAGCACAGGGAACTCCAGGACTTTTGGGTTCTTTTTACTTCCACAGGCTTGGAATGCTTCCCACCGCGCCCAAGTCCACAAGAACAAGCGCCTTCTGGAAGACAAGATTCAAGGGCGCCTTGGCCGGCTTTGGCGCGCGCAAAGCTCACTGTTGGATGGTCTTGGGTAGGCCACATACACATAGGGTTCAAATCGAGCTACTTTTCATGTATCGCATTTCTTTTGGAAAAGGTCGATGGACTACTATGAGATTGCGTTGAACTTCAACCCATCTGACCATGCAGGGGACAAACGGAAGTTGTCTCAACAGTGTGTCTTGGCAGGAAGTACCGTTGCTTTGCTTAGCTTACTATCAACCATTCTTGAAGATGTCAGCTCTCCAATGGAATACGTTTGCTTTCATTCTTTACAACCTGAGAGTTTGGGAACAGGACTGGGAAACATATAATTCAAAGATGACCAACCGCTTCTCAGCACCAGGCGTTGGCGCAATGGTGAACACGATGCCATCCAGCGCGCCGCGCGAAGCCACCTTTTTGAGCCGGTGGC